GCTGCCCGCCCATGCCCATGCTGTTGTCTCCAAGCAGCTCCCGGGGAAGCTCTGTCCCTTGCACGGTGGGCTTTGTCCTTCGGCAGAAGTCCCTCAGCCTCTTCAGAACGGGCCATCCATCCCAGGCACGGGCCATCCATCCCAGACTGTGAGAGAACCTCGGGACAGCTCTGGGCACGGGCCACCAGACCCTCTCAGCATGCATCCTAGAGCTGATACCCGCTTTCCCGGGGCACAGACTCCAGTCTGCTACGGTGCGTTCAGATCCCAGCTCAGGCTGATCCCCCATCCACAAATTATTACGGCTGGGGCTTGTTTCCCAGAACACCACAAGCCTCCGCAGCGCGCAGAAGTGCCAAAACCAAGGGCTGGTGCACCGTGCTCCCGGAGTCACGTTGGAATGAGGTCGCTGCAGGGCCTGGCGGCAGGTCCTGCCTTGGGCGGGGGTGAAGGCAGAGATGGACCCAGCACCTTCCGCAAGCTGCCGGGTTGGGATGTTCACCCCATTCTTCCTTTTGTCTTCCACTGAAGCTCTCTGCGGAAGCAGCAACGCCTTAGGACGGGGATGAGCAGCCAGTGCATCCACCAGCATGCTGGCGGCTTCCTGGAGGAGACGTGGTCTCACAAGCCGGGCTCAGAGCCCTCCACACAGCCTCCCCACGCGCTGCAGCCTGCAATCCCCCCTGCACTTGCTGCTGGGCTGTTAGGGACCTGCTTGTGGGACAGCTGCTGTTTCTCTCTGGACATGGCTTTGGGCAGCACCGGCGCAGGGGACGCAGCTGGAGCTCCTGAAAATCCAGCATTGGCTTCTCTGCTGTTTCCACTGGCAAACTCCTTAATTGGCAGCAGCTCCTGCGTTGCTGAAGAAGGGCCTTTTTAATTTAAAAAGTACTACCCATGAATACATACCCTTACCCTCTTCCTCCTAGGATGGCCCCAAGTACAGGCACACAAACTTGGAATCACAGAACCATTTAGGTTGGAAAAGACCTTAAAGATCATCACGTCCAATCATTACCCCAGCACTGCCAAGCCCACCACTAAACCATGTCCCTGAGCACCTTGTCCACACATCTCTTAAATCCTTCCTGGGATGGTGACCCCACCACCTCTCTGGGCAGCCCCTTCCAATGCCTGACAGCCCTTTCTGGGAAGAAATTTTCCCTAATATCCAATCTAAACCACCCCTGGGGCAACTGGAGTCTGTTTCCTCTTGTCCTACCTATTTAGGACAGACTTCTCCCAAGTTTCCCCAGACTGTACATGCGAGGGGTGTGGGAAGACTGAAAAGCAGCAACACAGCCCTGAGGCAACAGTGGCTCTTGAGTTAGACGGGAACTTGCAGTACAGCAGCAAAATTAGATTTAAATTAAAAAAAAACCCACCAGGAAAGCCAAGCAGTATGGAGGGACCTGGGGACTCGAAGCAGAGAGCAGGGCAGGCAGGCAAACACCCTCATCTCCACTGCTCTGGCAAGGACACACGTGGAATATTTATTTCTTGGCCTGCTTGCTGTACAAACTGCATGAAAACCTAGAAAATAAACAGTC